TCACCACCATTTTTTGAACAATCTTCTTTATGTTTTTATTGGCAGCTTCCACTGTGCCATTCATCATAGGTTTGTATGGAGAAGAATTGTGATGTTTGATTCTGAACTACATGCAAAGTTTAGTAATCATAAAATTGTTGAGATTGGTCCCGTTTTCCGTGATGACCCTTTTAGGGAAACAATAACAGTAGATAAGGTTATTCTTGATAAATCGGGCTACAACGTTCTTTGTGTCTAAGGCATATGAGGAAGCTTCGACCCATTTGGTGAAGTAGTTAATAGAAACAAGGATGAAATAGTGTCCATTGGAAGAAGTTGGTTTGATTTCTCAAATCATGTCAATGCCCCACATTGCAAAAGGCCATGGAGAAGTCATGACATTTGGAGGTATCAGAGGCACGTGAACTTTGTTGGCATAGATCTGGCACTTATGGGAAGTCCTCGAGTGATGGTGACAATCAGTTTCCATTGTCGACCAATGGTAACTAGCTCTTAGAATCTTCTTGGCCATAGTGTGTCCACTAGAGTGAGTCCCAAAGATACCATCATGCATGTCTTCCATGATCTTCTATGCCTCCTTCTTATCCATACACCGGAGTAGAGTGGAATCATGGTTGCGCTTGTACTAGATTCTATTGCTTAGGAAGAATTTGACTGAAAATATCCGCAAAAATTTCTTATCATAGATGGAAGCTCCTTTAGGTTACTCTTGTGCTTCAAGATATCTCTTCACCTCATGGTACCATGGCTTCTCTTCATCAGTGTCAAGCTCATAACAGTGTGCAGGTTCATCAAACCTTTTGATTGTAATTCTAGGACCCTCGTTGTCTCAATTGACCTTGAACATAAATGACATTGTTTTTAGGGCATCTTCCAATTGATTTTCTTCTCTTGGGAAATGTTCGAAAGTAACCTCCTTAAAGTATGGGATCAGGGTTAGCACAAGCTCTTTGTAAGGAATCAGATTAGGGTGTTTGGTATCCCAATCTCCCTTAACTTGATTGATTACTAAGTTTTAATCTCCGTATACAATTAAGGACTTGATTTCTAAGTTAATAGAAACTTTTAGATCCAATATGCATGCCTCATACTCAGCCATGTTGTTGGTACAATCGAAGCAAAGTCTAGAAGTGAAAGGTGTATGACAACCTTCGGGAGAAACAACCACAACACCAATTCCATTACCCAAATCATTGGAAGCCCCATCAAAAACCATAGTCCATCGGGATCCTTGTTCAGGTCCATCATATGGTTTAGGCTTTTCACAATAAGTTACTAGCATGATATTATAGTCCGAGAATTTAAAGTTCATGGATTGGTAGTCGTCAACAACTTGATGTGCCAAATGATCCCCCAACACACTTCTTTTCATTTCTTTTTGTGTAGTATGTTGGATGTCGTATTCAGTCAAGATCATTTTCCATCTAGATATTCGTCTGGAGAGAGCTGGCTTCTCGAAGATATACTTGATGGGGTCCATCTTAGAAATCAATAAAGTGGTGTGAGTCAACATATATTATCTTAGCCGGCGAGCATCCCATTCCAGAGCACAACAAGTTTTCTCGAGCAGTGAATATCTAGTTTCACAGTCGGTAAACTTTTTGCTCAGGTAGTATATTGCATGCTCTTTTCGGCCAGACTCGTCATGTTAGCCCAACACACACCCCATTGAGTTCTCTAATACAGTCAAGTACATAATCATAGGTCTTCCTTCAACTGGAGGCATCAGGATGAGAGGTTGTTATAAATATTCCTTGATCTTACTAAAGGCTGCTTGGCAGTCGTCGTTCCATCTGACTACTTGACCTTTCTTCAAGAGTTTGAAGATTGGCTCACAAGTAGCAGTTAGGTGAGATATGAATCGAGAAATGTAGTTAAGTCGACCCAAGAAACCTCTGACTTCCTTCTCAGAGTGGGGAGCTGGCATTTCTTGTATGGCTTTAACCTTTGTAGGATCAACTTCAATGCCTTTGCTATTGACAACAAAACCTAAGAGTTTTCCAGATCTTACTCCGAAAGTGCACTTGTTAGGATTCAACCTTAGCTTGTATTTCTTCAACCTCTCAAATAACTTATGAAGATGATCAAGGTGTTGTTCCTCATTTTGCGACCTTGCAATCATATCATAAATGTAGAATTCAATCTCATGATGGATCATGTCATGGAATAAGGCTACCATAGCTCGTTGATAGGTTTCCCCGACATTCTTTAAACTGAAAGGCATGACCTTGTAACAAAAAGTGTCCCACTGCATGACAAAGGTGGTCTTCTCCATGTCCTTGGGAGCCATCTTGATTTTATTGTAGACGGAGAAGCCACCCATGAAAGAGAAGACTTTGTGTTAAGATGTGTTGTCGACCAAGACATCAATATGCGGTAGTGAGAAATCATCTTTGGGGCTTTCCCTATTCAAATCTCTATAGTCTATGAACATATGGACCTTTTCATCCTTCTTTGGTATGTGGACCACATTCACCACCCATTGAGGATATGATGTCATAGCCAAGAAACCTGCATTGAATTCCTTCATTACCACTGCTTTTATCTTTTCAGACATGTCCTGCCGCATACGAAGAACCTTTTGCTTGACTGGAGGACAATCTTCCTTTGTTAGTAGATGATGAACTACAATGTTAGTATCAAGTCCCGACATATCTTCATATGACCAAGCAAACACCTCAACATAGTCGTGCAACATTTGGACCAATATGCTTTTGACACCGTCTTCCATGTTGGTGCCAACCTTGACCCATTTCTTGTCTTCCTCATTACCTAGGTTGATCACTTCAATTGGTTCCTAATGCGTTTGAATGGCTTTTTTTTCTTGCATCAGAAGTCTGTCTAATTCCCTAGGTATTTCATAATCTTCTTCACCTTCGTCTTCAGCTTGGTAGATTGGATGTTCAAAGTCATAGATGGCAATAGTAGAGTCGTTGGCAATGAGATCCGGAGTGGATGAAGATCTGCAAGTATGTGTGTGTGTGCATGTAAGATACATGGCTATTTTGAAAATGCAAATAAGAAAACGAAAGACAATGAGCGCAACATTTGAATGAAAAAGGTCTAATGTCTTTCATTAAATGATCATATGGCATATGGAAATGAACAAACCCTTAACAAATGGACCATGGTGCCCCAGGCAAGGCCCATGTTTTAAAGTTATTATTTGGAAATAAAATTACAGATAAAAGTTCATGAATTGACAAAACAGTAAATGGTAATTACTCATCACTGAAGGAGATGAGAATGAAATCCTTGGTATGCCAGTTGTTGAGCTCCTTTCCGGCTGTCGGGTAAATCCATTCATCAAAGTCGCAGTCATCCTCAGAGTCTTCAATAGCATTCACTCCATGATTACCAATGCGAAGAGGTGGTTTTCCTATGCGAGCACGTCTGACCTCCTTTTGAACTTTGGTAGTGAAACCCAGCCCAAACTTGTCTGCTTTGAGAGGAATGTCAGGGAGTTGTCCCCAATTTGTACTACTTCATCTTCAATCAAGACACGAGCGTCCTTAAGTGAAACCATCTTGGAACAACTTCAACAGTTTTTGGAGTGTCATAAGAGATTTTGGTGGCGACAACCATGGGAGGAACCACTTCGAAAGCTTGGCATGGCATTACTCACCATCCATCTCCACATATTTGAACGAATTTAGGTGGATAACCATGAATTCTTCTTCACCACAAACAATAAAAAGCATTCCTTTAACTGGATATTTCAACTTTTTGTGAAGGGTGGACATCACTGCTCCGCCCCATGAATCCAAGGGCGTCCAAGTAAACAAGAGTAAGAGGGACGGATGTCCATCACGTAGAAAGTAGAATTGAAAACTTCTGAACTGTTGTACCCCAATTTTTGACCTAAGATCCCACCTCCCATCTGCATTATTACATAGCAAGCGTTCACAAGCGATTCGACCTATTTTTGCCACTTCTCGGGTCAGATTTCAAAAATTCATAACTTCTTCAAATTTCGACATTTTTGAGAGGTTGTTTTTGCGCATGATTTTCCTTGACATCATCCACAACTTTTCTTTATAAATCAAGGGAAAATTATGCATTAAAAAAGCCATGAAAAATTGTTGACGTTAAAAGTTGTTTTGTGAATTTGGTGAAATTTGGGTTCGACTGTGTTTTATTTATGATTTCTTTTCCATTAAAAAATTGCAAAAGACGCACTTAACATGTGTTATTATTTTTATTTATTTATTTATAATTTTTTTTATTTTTTTATTTTTCTTTATTCAAAATATAAAAAATATGGTCTTTTACTAATTCTATTTAAATTTATATGTTTGTATCACTTTATTTGAAAAATCTAAAAAAATATGTGATTAGCGTCATCTTTATTTTAGTTGTATTTTACATCCAGAAAATCTCAAAGAAAAAAAAACATATAGTTAATACCATTTTCTTTTATTTACATTTTTTATTTCTTTAGTCATTATAATTTTAGTTCCTTTTTAATTTTGATTTAGTTCTAATATTAATTGAATTTCTTAAATTGAATTATTATTATTACTAATTACTTTTTTGTTTGTGTCTCTTATTTTAATTCTTTTTTGTACTTTTAGTTTAGTTGTCACTAACAATCTCTTTTTTGGTTAATTATTATTACTATTTTTTTTCTTGCTGTTAATTTTTGTTCTATCCAATTTTGCTTCAACTCTTGTCAAATCTTCCCACAAACCTGTTACTGTCATACTGCAAAAATTTGCACCATAATACATCCAAGAAACTTACATGAGAATGACATTTTTTTCAAAAAAAGGAATAAAGCAAAAAGTCATACTATATTTCCTCTATCTATAGAATAAACTTCAACCTCAGTCAAAAAACCACAATGGTAATAACCCCTTTGAATTTCTTCACAAACCTTCTAACTCCCATATGACCCCTCTCTTCACATTGATATACATCACCAACCATTTGTTCTAGGGAACCCATCACCTTCAGTAACAAAAACTCACCAAAAATTAGCAACAATCTTCATCCAAGCTTCAACTTTGTCCATCATTACAGAAGCAAACAACAATAAACACCGATGCCGTAACCTGCATAATATATAAAACAATATACAGCTGCTGTCTCAAGCCAAAAAAAACCAACAACTTTAACCTTGTCAACCCTTACCTGCATCAAACCAGATGAACACTAAACCAGCATAAGCTTGCAAAACTTAGAACCCGCGGTAACATGAAAACAAACAAATTGATGCACCTCTGTACCTGTAAGTAACCGATACAAACAGATATCAACAATGTATCTCAGTGATGACAACTACATCCACAGAACCGAAGCAAGAGAAGAGAGAACCAGATACCTTACTTGAGATATTCCCGGAAAAATCTCCTATCCAACGGTAATCGTTCTCTTGATTCCTCCTACCTTCAAATTGTTTTCGTACTAATTTGTTTCTGCTATTTCAATGTTGATTAAGGTGCAATCGTGTTTGAAACTTTGTTGTCCTTTTGCGATTATTTGATATGTTTCATGTTGCCTTGCATTTGTTATGCCTTCATTACTTAAATCTGGAGCAGAGAGAGACATACAAAAACAAAGAGAGTTAAAATCCTGTAAAAGAAATAACCTCTAACGCGTCAACACAAAACCATCGCCAGAAACATAGAAAAAACCTCTCTCTCCTTTAGATAAATCGCCGCCGAGCCGGCATGCCTCACGACGGCGGCTTGGAACCCAGAACCATAAATTGAATACACCAGATTCTTCGTCTCCTTCCCTTCTTTCCAAAGCCCCAATCAATTTATATATATTCTCAACCAACTATTCTAAATCTAAGCAAAACTAGAACCTTAGAACTCCGAAAAAAGTAAAATTAACGGCAACGGCGGGGATCTTGCTTCAGAACCTTAGCGTAAATATTCTACAAGTTCCGTTTTTTTTTCTTCTTTTGAGTTTCTATGTGAGTTTGTTGTTAAGCTACGTTTTTGAGAGTATGAAAGTGAGGTTTGAGAGATTGCAGGAGCTCAGAGGCTGAGGGTAGAACAAGTCGGCTCGATTCAGGAACTACGAAATTAGATGGCTAGATAATTGGTTGATATGTAGAGATAAAAAGAATCGGTTGAGAGAATCAGAAGAAGATTTTGAATCGTGAGTTTTGATGAAAGAGAGTGAACTGTTGTTGCTTGTTCAGAGAAATAGCGTGATTGAAAATGGAAAGAGAAGGGTGCAGAGAATTGGGAATTGTTGTTTTATGTTTTCTTCCCAAATTTTTCGTTATTAATGATAATAATTAAGAATTAAATGTTGACCAATTCTTTCCATTCCCCAAAGTCCAAGCGGCGCCTCTTGCATATTTTTAGGGTTTCGAAAACCCTTTCCCCCCTTTTCTTGGTGGATCCGGGTTTGGGCTTAAGCTCTAAAGCCCAACGCAATCACACTACTCCCTTTATACCATTTGAAGAGTATTCATGACATCAAGGTAACATTGGTTTGGTGGCAAGACCGTTCAGTTGTGACTAAAGTGATCCGAGTTCGATCCCTGGCTATTATTTTAGCTTTAAGTTTATTTAGTCATATTTCACACAAAATTCATAAATATAATACAAAAATATTAGTTTAGGTTTATAATTATTTCTTCCTTTACCTCTCCAAAACCGGGTCAGTCCAATGGGCTATTGGCCCAATAACTCAACCTTTTTTTTATGTTTTAAAAGAACATAATAAGTAATGAATAAGTGAAACAGTTTAATTGTTAATCTACTTTGCTGTAAAATTATTAATTAGTATAAAAAACACATAAAAACATTTAATTAAAATTTCACCTTTATTTAATTTTGAAAACATACTTTTTTCTTTTATCATATTTTTGTGTTGTCGCTTATTTAATTATTCAAAAATACATGTTTCATGATTTAATTTTGTCATGTGTTTAATTATCAAAAAATCTATGTTTTCTTAATCTTCATGTGCTCTTTTATTATTTATTCAATTTTTAAGATGCATGCTAGTATGATTTAAATTTCATTATTTAATCGTTTAATTATAATTTTGATTAATTGATCGTTAATCCGTATATCTCTCGTCCGTTTCAATCCAAGGGAATTGTTTAATTTTTGTCGACTTCATGTCACCAAAAAAACATTGTGCGAATACCCTCATTTCATTAAAACTTAGGATAATTTTTCCTTAAAAAATTCATTTTATTTTCAAAACTTATACCTTTTAAGCAAAAATTTCGACATTAGGTCGTCGTACCTTCAAAAACCTGTCCGTACCCCTTTTCGGCCAAAACGATTTATTTTTAATCAAACGATCAATTTTAATAAACAGATATTTCAAAAGGTTCCTATAGAGTACTATAGATACATTGGGTGCTAATACCTTCCCATTGTATAACCAACCCCCGAACCATAGATCTTTTCAAAAACGCCTTGTATCTTTATTACTTTTAAAAAGTATTATTTACATTGCATATTTAGGGTTTTATTTCGTTCTTTCCCCTTTTCCCTTGGAAACAATAAAGCGCGGTGGCGACTCTTGCTTTTGTGAGACGAGTTAATCAATAATTCGATCTCCGATTTACCCCGCTACATTTTTTATCGCTACATGAACCAACTTCAATGGGGAGATCCACTTCTCCAAGTACCATCCTCTTAGATCCATCAAAAGCCCTCACAACTATGTCGCTTGGCTTTAACACCAAACTGTCGCAATCCAACCGATCTAAGGCACCTTTGGGTAAGACATTTAGAGAGGACCCTGTATCCACCAAGACATGGGCCAGAGTAGTTCCTTTGCATTCAATAGAGACATGCAAAGCCTTGTTATGATTCCTTCCAACTAGTGTCAAGTCAGCATCAGAGAACCCCAATCCATTGTCGGCAGTCAAACTCGCCACACATTTTTCAAATTGATCAGTTGTGGTCTCTTGAGGAACATGCGCTTTCTTCAAAATTTGATTAAAACTTGGGCATGAGCATCGGAAAAAATAAACAAAGACAACATAGAGATTTTGGAGGGGGTTTTCCCCAGTTGCTCTACTATCTTGAAATCACTATTTTTTATAATTTTCAAGATTTCCTCCATTTCTTGGGTGGCAGTTTCTTCAACAACAATGCCTTTGGCAGGAACCTCTATCCCAGCAGGCTTAATTACTTTCTCTTTACCCCTAGTGTTAATACTAGGCTTATCAATGGTAATGCAAATAGGTCTCGTTGTAGTAGTTAGAGGTGAAATGTTAGGAGAGAAAATCATCCCCGTTCTTTTCACCTTGCTAGAACCAGCAATATTGGTAACATCATCAGCTTTGTCTTCATTGACCCAAGAGTCTTGCTTAATTCCCTAATAGTAAACTTCAGCACCGTAATTCCAAGGGACTACTTTGTCGTAGGAGTAATGAATCGGCCCAGGAGCAGTAATTATCAAGGGAGCAATCATTGGTTCGTTGGAAATCCAAATAAGACCCTTTGAAGAGATACTAGGAGGATTATTGTAAATTGTTATGACGAAAATGTCTTTAGCTTTATTGATCAAACTTTTGATGGATAGAGTTCTTTCAAACAGGATCTCATGACTAATTATCAGGCGTTGGACACCTTCTTTCATCCATTTGCATCCATTAACTTGTTTAGCTCAACAATTACAGTCTTTCAAACTGTCAGGGAAAACCCCAGCTCTTAGCAGGTTCTCTTTAACAATGGTGAGTGGAGTAGTCAAATCTTCAACGGAGGAAACAAAAGCATTGTCTTCAATTGCATTGACACCTTTGCCATGATTAGGCATTGGTGCAGTTATAACATTTGGAGTTATAGGTGGATCAAACTTAATAGTTTTGTTGTCGATAAGATCTTGAATCTTGTTTTTTAGAGCCCAACATTGATCAGTGTCATGCCTAGGACTATTGGAGTGATAGGCACATTTGGTGTTAGGATTGTATTTCGGAGATGAAATATTAGGATTTGATGGTGAATCGCACAACGTTACCAAGTTGGCCTTCAACAGGTGTTGCAAGGCTTGGGACAGTGACACGTTAATCCTCTTGAATTGCCTTCTTGGAACCTCAGACCTTTGATGGTTGGCTTGTTGTTGTTATATTTGAGTAGATGGAGGGTTGGAGATCAAAATAACATTAATAGATGGACAGTGACCCTTCTTGGTTTGGGCCCTTGACCAATACATAGCAATTGCTTCTTTCTTACTAGTAAAGGGCTTCTTTACAGTGTTTGATGTAGAAGAAGATGCCATGGGAATTTTCCACTCTTGATACCGCTCTCGACCCTTTCACTAGTCAGAATTAACTCAATGAAACCGGATGATGAGCTCCCAATTAACAAGTTAAAAAATGGGTCAGTTAATGTTCCCATGAACATATCCACCATCTCCCTATCCGTCAATGGTGGTTGTACTCTACCAGCAAGGTCTCTCCATTTTTGTGCATATTCCTAAAAACCTTCATTGGAACCCATTGTCATTCCTTGTAACTGAACCCTAGTTGGCACCAAATCAGTGTTGTACTGATATTGACGGTAGAAAGCGGTGGCTAGATCTTCCAAAGTATGAATGTTGGAACCCTCCAACTGGTAAAACCATTCTAACTGAGTCCTAGATAGACTCTCTTGAAAGAAGTGTACACAGATCTTCTTGTCAGTTGTATGCCGTTGTATTTTGCGGGCGTAGGACCTCAAATGAAGCTTTGGGCACGAAACTCCATCGTACTTAGAAAAGATTGGAATTTTGAATTTGTGGGGGATAACAACCCCAAGTACTAATCCCAAATCACTAAAATCCAAGCCAGGTACAACTTGAATTTCTACAACTTTCAACCTATCTTCCTGTAGCTTGTACTTATCCTCGGCCGATGGATATTGTTCATCAAAGTAATCTTCATCCTCAGAAGCTTAATTGTTTGCAACCCCAGCACGTGTGCTTCTTGCATCTTCATTCTGATTCTCATCCTCCTCGGAGGAGACTTGTTCCACTTAAACATGTCGAACGGAGGCCTTGAATCTCTTCCCCATGTTGATTACGACTTTCTTATTTGTCTTATTTTTGGCCACCAGAAGTGACATCAACTCTTGTTGTCCTTTGGCCAAGGTGAGAAATGTTTCTTGAAATTGAGAATTATGTTTCTGAAAGTCTTTCACGGTTTGCTCGATATCCATCTTACTGAAATAAACAGTAGAAAGATGAGGAAACCTGTGTCGGAAAACCTGCTTATGTCATGAATGCATGTAATGTGAATGCAAATATTTTCAAGGATTTAAGGAAATTTAAATTTTCTAAACAAAGAGAAAATAACAAACATGAACTTCATTAATAAAGATAGGAATTACAAATTCCTCTCGGGCTTACCATGGAGGAAGCAAAAATAATACAAAATAAACTCCTAAAACAAAAAAGAATTAGGCTTGCCATGAGCGCATCCTCTTTGGTGCAATGTAGGCGTTCAAACTTCATTCTTCATGAATTTGTCTCGTAAGCTCCAAAACCTTCTTCTCTCTTGCGTAGAAATGGGTTTCAAAGGTGTCTCGCTCTCCTTTGTGTTGAATCCATGATCTTTGCAATTCCTCGAGAGTAGTTGGCATGTTAGGATGAAGAAGAGTGTAAGTGGTATCTCCCTCAGCAACGGGCTCTATGATCACAGGTAGGATGGCGGGTAAGGCATCACGAGACTTTGAGCATGAGTTTGTACCCACTTAAGGTAAGGATCAAGCGGGATGGAATTTTTATGCCCCAATATCTCACTATCCACTTTGTTTACCATTCTCTAAGCTCGTATGAACCTTTAACGATAGCCTTGGTCGTCGCCCTCGTAATCGAATACCAAACCTTGGATGAGCGCATCATGGGAACCATCTCTTTGTGCATATCCAAACTTCCGTAATGCAAGAGAAGGGTTATAGGTGATACCTCCCCTAATGCCTAAGAGTGGGACATTAGGAAATTCCCCACAATGGTCAATGATGGTAATATCCTCCAAAGATCGAGAACACCAATGGATATCCGAGTGCGAGAGTGACATCATCCTTTGAGACCATGTCAAGCCTTGCTCATTCTTCAACGTTGATCGAGGTAGGTGTGAAATAAACCACCTAGACAGTTATGGAATGCAACACAAAAGAGTACCCCTTTTCTTCATGGTGCGAGTATGGAAACAATTTAGAATGTCTCCAAGCAAGGTAGGTACGAGATTACGAGAGAGAAAAACCTTGACGGCATTCACATCTATGAGTTGGTTTGGATTGCGAAATAGAACCAAACCATAGATTATAAGGGTTAAGACATCCTCAAAAAGCTTGAAAATCCATATTTTCCAGAATAAACGAGCTTTCTCCAACATAAATTAGGCTAAGAAACCCTCAACTCCACTTCTTGTCTCCCAATTTGTCACAATATCAGATCTCTTCAAATGCAAGGCTTTGGCAATAACTTCAGGCTTTTGAGTCTTCTCTAAACCGGTGAATTGATTAAGCACATGCACTCCTAATAATTGAGATAATTCTTCTAATGTAGGCACCAACTGGTAGTCGGGAAAGGTGACGCAATGATGTATAGGATCAAAGAATTGGAAAACATACACATCATTTCTTCTTGAAAGTTTGAGGAAGCCAAGTTGAAAAGTCGACCATATTTCTTGGTGAATGTAGAATCTCCAGGAACTCTTGATGCTAACTCTTGAAGTTGAGGATGCACTTTCACGAAGTTAACTCGGATGGTATTTCTACGAGTGGAAATCATGACCTACAAAATAGAACAAAGATAAGTTCCTAAATAATTTAAATGGTTAGTGAGAATTCTTATGATGTTATGATGTTTATGATCTCATGAATAATAATCACAAACAAAGAACACAAAGACCTTAGGTTTAGACTTGCATGGGTTTCATAGGTAAGTACCCTCTTGAAGTTTAGTTGGTTCAACCTGTCCTACAAAGTAAAAAGGTTTTAGGGAATCTCAATATCATTAGTCTTTCTTCATTGGGCATTATCTCAGCACAATCAATCTTTTCTTGCAGACAAAATATCCCAAAAGTCCAATCTCAATGAGCGTAGTATCAAGTATCAACCAATCTTTAGCTTTGCACCAAAGTCAGCTATATCACTACTTACTAATGGCAAAGTTGTTCAATTAAAGGTTCTACGGCCAGTTAGTGCTTCGTGACACTGCTCAGCGGCATCCTATTCTCCTTGATTCAACACAAGGGATACCAATACCAACAAATGTTTCACACTAACGTAGCCATTGCTTCACCCATATTGGTCTACACCGTACAATTTGCATAATCTTTTATTACTTACCTAATGATGTTCCCAGATCCGAGTAGAGGATCAATACAAAACCCAAACAAGGACCCAAAATGTAAAGCAATTAAGTCAAACAATGAAAGCAT